TCATAATTTAAAAAAAAGCATACAATGAAATTTCATCAACTAACAAGCAAGCATTTGCAGTCATACTGATGTTAAATCAAAATCATAGAATTTTTGGTTAATTGTTACAAAGGAATAATTCAACAAAATTTTAGATAATCTAATCCAAGTGCATGAAATAGGTAGGTACTTGATGACATTCCACACTCAGGATTATGTATGTTTTCAGGGAATTTTCCCCGCGCATTTTGACTTTTTTAAAGCCACTGCTGCGCACAGATGGTGCAAATTCTGGCCATCCCCGCTTGCGCGCGCAAGCGTCGGTGCAGGCCGCAGCACGCACATACATTTTGTCAAGGGACAAGAGACAGAAAACGTATAATACTCAATATGCGTTTAATTATCCATCAAAAATCTATGATTTTCCTTGATATGGCAATTTTGTGGAAGTAAAAATCTAGAAATTCATTTTCGAAGAAATTTTCTACAAATTTCTTATACGAACTGACGAACATCGTTTGTTTACCTTCCGTAGACCGTCCAGACGTGAGGCAATATTCAGTCCAGACGTGAGGCAAGCGATGATTAACCAAGTCCTCAGAAATTGGGCATATGAAGTAAACAAATATTAGTGTTAGATGACAGATTTTGCTTGTTCTATATATACTATTAGTGCGCTAATAGGGTTATTAAAGATTCTACGGTTAATGAAAGGAGTCAGAAATAATTTCATCATTGTAATTAATGAAAAATAGTTTTGAGTGCGAAATCTTTTGTAAATAAAATATGTCTAGACATAACTGTCATCAGAAATTCCCAACATTGTCTCTACATACTTTTTACGCAATGCGTGAGTCTCTTGAAGCTATTCATATTTTATTAAGGTTTGTTGTTAGTCTATATAATTAACCTTCAAAGTTGCAAAAAATGAGAACTGATAATTTAAAAAAAGTGCAGTGCCTGTATTTTTGTTTTCAATGGGTTTGCACCCCACAAACCCATTTCTCCAGCCGGGAGGCCACACTCAGGATGATGTATGTTTTCGGTGAATTTTCCCGTGCATTTTCACTTTTTTTAAGCTATTGATGTGCACAGTTGGCGCAATATAATGAAAATTGATCATCTTCGCGCACGTGTTTGCGCAATCCCAGCCATCTTTATTTTAGAAGAAAATTTCTCCAAAGTCATATGGCAACACTGAACACCGTCTGTTTACATTTCGTATGTATAACAGCCGCAGTTTACGATTACCGTACATTCCGTATCCGACAAGGCGGACAACCGGAAGAGTCAGAAGTAACCCGGACATGTCTTACATTTTATTATTGTCAGTTCGACTCGTGTAGTCAATATACTCGCATACTGTAAAATGGGGTAACTTAGACCGGCGGGGTAACTTAGACCACTTTTCGTTTTTTTAACAAAAACCCCCACAACTCAAAAACTATTTGACATAGAAAAATTTTGTCAATGGGCATTAAAGGCCTAATACTGAGGCCACATAACACAATAGAAAGATTTGAAAAGTTTGCATATATAATAGGTTAAAAAATTAAAAATGTGACCCTAAAAAAAAGCTATTATTTAAAGCCTGTCAGAGTACCCCCTCCAATTTTTTTTATTTTTTGGTTAAATAACTCCAGGTTTTGATGCATTATAGTAGAACTCTTCTAGTTACATATGCAAATGACAAATTTTAGGAAAGTGTCATAGTTTGCAAATGGGGGGCAATAGTGGCAAAGCAGAGAGTTTTTTAGACTCTCCCTCAAGTTCATTTTTGAGTCCTATAAGTAGACCAGTCAAGTATCCTGGATACCAACATTATAATAGGCTACTTAAGAAATTTAATTAAATCTTGAGTAAATGAGGAAATTAAAAATGAACTGATTCTAAAAGAGCTCTGGTTTGCCACTATGTGTATGAATAATGAATAATTATTCATAACATTGCCGACTCTTAGAACCTGAGTTAACACGTTAGAAATCTAGTCAACGTGATGCAGATATTTGTTCGTGTGTGATAGCGTTGCCACGCGGCACGCATTCACCTTTAAATAACTTTAGGAGCATGGCGCAGGCTGGCGCATGGTGCACTTTTTTACCGGCATATTATGGCGCACCATAGTGGCAAAGCAGAGAGTTTTTTAGACTCTCCCTCAAGTTCAATTTTGAGTCCTATGAGTAGGCCAGTAAAGTATCGTGGATACCACTTACCAGCATTACCATACATAAGATTTTCGTGAAAGTGCAATGGATGGGTGAGACTCGTCGGAGAGCCAGAGGGCATATGATAAAGAAATTGGTTTAAATCTTGAGCATAGTGGCAAACCAGAGATTTTTTAGAATCAGTTCATTTTTAATTTCCTCATTTAATCAAGATTTACACCAATTTTTTTTGTATGATCCACTATGCAGAGGGTGGATGCAGCGTCGGCAATATATGGATTTTTAAGCCCAAAGCGTCGCCGGCCATTTTAAAGATGCGTCGCCGGGTAATTTTTAATGAAAAGCCATTTACGCTGAGTAATGACGAACTATTTACAAGCCACGAACTTATTACAAGGTTGCATGCACGTGTTACCCCAAATAACTAATTTTACCCTTAAACAGTCCGGTTGTACAGCAAGTGTCAACTGAACAAGTAATAAAGCAGTCTGACCACTCTAATGCGACCGAAACCATAGTGGCAAAGCAGAGAGTTCTTTAGACTCTCCTTCAAGTTCAATTTCAAGTCCCTATAAGTAGACCAGTAAAGTATCATGGATACCACATCATACCAGCATTATCATAATTAAGTAATTGGTTTAAATCTTGAGTTATTGAGGAAATTAAAAATGAACTGATTCCAAAAAAGCTCTGGTTTGCCACTATGACCGAAACTACGCAATCAAAAAAATGTTGTTTACATTTTTTGCGGGAACTCATCGCAACTGATTTCCGGACAAGCTTCGCTGCATCGTAATCCATCCAACGTACCGGAAACCTTACTTTTTTTCTAAATAGTTGGCTGAAGACTGAGAAATATATTAAATGCAAGAATTTCAATCTAAATGTGTCGGCAAGATCTTCTGAAGGCGAAAATTTTGCCGATAATGCGTCGCCATAGGTCTTTAAATCTTCGTTCACTCTCTGCACAGTGGCCAGGCTGTAGAGTAGGGCCTTTCAGCTCGAGATATTGGCGTCTTTTCAAGCTCTCAATCAGCCACCTCGACCTTAAATCGGCGTCCATGGCCGATCTGGCCCGATCATAAACTATACTCAGGCAGCCATGAGGCCCATGACCGATCATAAACTATAGATTGCTCAATCAGTCCTGCCGTCACCGCACGCATCTTCAGCTTATTTGATTCATGATTGCTTGTATCTGTCACCTGATCACAATTTGCATGTCTGGCGTGCCCCATGCTACTGCTGAAAAAATCTATTGTGTTCTAACGCGATCTATTGTGTTCTAGCATGATCTATTGTGATCTAAAGTAATCTATTGAGTTCTAACATGATCTATTGTGTTCTAACGTGATCTATTGCTTTCTAACGAGATATATTGCGTTCTTACTAGATCTATTGCATTTTAACTCAATTTATTGCAGTTTAACATGATCTATTGAATTTTAGAGCGATTTCTTGCATTTTAACGTGATCTTTTGCGTTCTAGCGCGGTCTATTGTGTTCTAACGCGATCTATTGCGTTCTAACGCGATCTATTGTGTTCTAACGTGATCTATTGCGTTCTAACGTGATCTTTTGCGTTCTAACGTGATCTATTGCCTGTCTCTTATACACATCTAGATGTGTATAAGAGACAGCGCCGGAACTGCGCGCTACATCGCGTAGTTCAGGTGGCTATGAGCTCGTATGCTTGGGTGCTCAAATGTAGCTCTCACAGGTGCCGGAACTGCGCGCTACATCGCATAGTTCAGGTGGCTATGAGCTTGTATGCTTGGGTGCTCAAATGTAGCTCTCACAGGCGCAGGAACTGCGCGCTACATTGCGTAGTTCAGGTGGCTATGAGCTTGTATGCTTGGGTGCTCAAATGTAGCTCTCACCGCCATCGGAACTATGCGCTACGATCCATATCGATCGGCCATATCGATCGTAAATTGCGATTTATGGAGAAGCCTTATCTTGCGACCGGCGTCCAGTGGTGTCCAGTGGCATCCACCTCGGCGTCTTTGGTGCATGAAATTGGCGTCCTTGACCTATGTTGTGCCATGCTTTACAGTCTGGCACAGTGGTGTATGATAAAGCTGGTATCCATGATACTTTACTGGTCTACTTATAGGAATCAAAAATGAACTTGAGGCAGAGTCTAAAAAAACTCTCTGCTTTGTCACTATGATCTTGAGTTTTATTTGAGTAAATGAGAAAATTAAAAATAAACTGATTCTAAAAAAGCTCTGGTTTGCCACTATGCGGCGCACAGCGCAAATTGATGCAATGATAATATAAATTTCCACGCACCTGGCGCTGGCACATCTTCCTGACCGTGGATGACATTGAAGACTGAAGTTGACTGTCAGTACTCACTACTCAGTGGAAAGTGGGTCACATAAACGGTAGGGTCAATGAAAAATGTTAATTGTGATAATATTACGGTATAATGTATAAATTGTATATCACAAAATACATTTTCCCACCGGCATAGTGGCAAAGCAGAGAGTTTTTTAGACTCTCCCTCAAGTTCATTTTTGAGTCCTATAAGTAGACAAGTAAAGCATAGTGGCAAAGCAGAGAGTTTTTTAGACTCTCCCTCAAGTTCATTTTTGAGTCCTATAAGTAGACCAGTAAAGTATCCTGGATACCAGCATTATCATACATAAGAAATTGGTTTAAATCTCAAGTAAATGAGGAAATTAAAAATGAACTGATTCTAAAAAAGCTCTGGTTTGCCACTATGCCCACCGGACCCACCCCTCACTCTCTCACATCAACTACCTAGCTACGCAGTATAGTTCTGAACTAAGTGAACTTCTGCATAGATATTACATACTTAATAGTAAAAAAACATTTATAGAAACTTACTCGTCTCCGATCCATGGCAATTCTGATTTACCCAGGATATCAATGTATTAAAGTACTTTTTCACTTGATCTATAACAATGTGACATGACTGACATCTTCCATAGATAATAATGCTTCACTCCCGCCAAACGAAACACTCTTCCGTCAAATTCACGAAAAACACGGAAAAACTCATTTGTAGCATGATGAAACATGCTAGGTAGATAAAATGGGAAAATTATTAATTAGTTTCTTTATTAACAAGACGTCTATCAGAAGCATATTATTCGATTTTACAGTAAAACTGTGAGCTTAAAAATTGAAAATCAGAAAAAATGTATCGAAACGAAAAAAGTTTTCCAATAAAATATTCATGAGCCATTTTCATTGCTTTCAAATGCTTATTTAATTTATTATCCAAAATTTGGAGTGCCAATAATCAGTTTCCTTTTTATATTGCAATAAAATTTGGTAAAGAAACATATTGGTTATAAATCACGTCCTTGGTTTTCACATAATTCAAAGTGACCAAATTCTAGACGCCAAATACGGTTCATGATGGCTCATAAGAAGCCTTTTTTCATTACGAACGGTGAACATTCTAGAAAAAAATGGATGCTTATTCTTTAAAAAATAGATGAGATTTTTTGATGTATGCAGCCCAACATATCAAAAGAAATTTGATTTATAATACAAAATATAATTGCAGAGCAATAAAACAAATATTATATAAACGTTTATTAAGCGTTGTAGATGTCGTATATCGCTCGTCAGCTCACGAATGGCCCGTTCGTTGAGAAGTACTCCTTGATTTCTGAAATTAGGAAACATCGTCAATAATTTTGTTGTCCTCAGTAATCACATTTATTGAATTTTCAACCTAATATTATGTCAAAAAGTGCATGAATGCTTTAATTAACAATAGATTGATACGAAATGAAACACATAATGCGTTCATCCTCGGGCCAAACAGAACATTATACCCAGGCCCAACACATAACATTGAAAGCGAAGTTAATAAGCGCATTTATAATGTCATATCATAGTGATGTCGGCGCTGAATAATAGACCTAATGTGGCCTGTCGCCGATTCTTGTACTTTTCCTGGCTTTTCCACAGGAGATCTAAAAACAGGTCCTTCGACCGATTCTTTTCCAAACTGACGATAGTTTGAAATAGTTAATAGATTTTCGCTAGGTTTGATATGGTGCTAGGTATTTTTTAATTTTATATTTCTCCATAAATTTATCTAATCTGTTCTTGAGCGCGTTTATACGCGGAGCGTCAACAATGTTTATCAGGGAGGCTGCTCCACATGTCGCGGTGACTCGGAGCGAGAAGAAATGTTAGCGCGTAGATGAGTTGCAACACCGTTTTTTAACGTATTTTCTCATATATGGAAAAAATGCACTATTGTACTCGCCATGTCCGTCTGTCTGTCCGTCCGTCCGTGACCTCAAGTTTTCGGCGAGAAAATGCGCTCTCTGTCAATCACTGCAGTGAGTACTGAGTCAAATTTTTTTAGTTTATAGCCGTGGCCCCTGGTGTTGGTTTTTGTTTCAAATTCTAGTAATCCTTCTGGGACCTTGTATAAACCATAAGTATACTTGTATACTTCAATGAGGTCACCAAGCAGACGTCGATAAGCTTCATAATATTTAATGTTTCTTCGTAAGAATTGCATTTCAAGCCTGGAATTATCCTTGCTGCACGTCTTTGAACACTCCCTACTAAAATTTTGCCCGTTTCAATTTTCGGTGACCACACGGCGTTTCCAAACTCTAGGTTCGGGCGCATGACAGCAACAAACGACTGCTTCATCGCTTCTGCATCTAGGAACTCGTAAGAGCGTTTGATCGGTCCATGAAGTTTGTTGGATTTATTTGCTTGCGTTTCAACATGCTTAGAAAATTCTAGCTCCTTGTCGACATAAACTCCCAAATCTTTTTCCGCACTAGGCTTTTCAATCATTGCTCTCTCATTCGAAAAAAACCCCGACCAGAAGGGTAGAACAACCTCGTGTATATTCATCGTAATAGACATTTTGCACATAGATCGTGAATCAGCTTCTTATAATTATCGAAAGCACCTCCTGCACCCCTGTATAATTATCGCAAGCTTCCCCTGTTTAATTATCGCAAGCACCCACTGCACCCCTGTTTAATTATCGCCAGCACCTCCTGCACCCCTGTATAATTATCTCAAGCTTCCCCTGCACCCCTGTTTAATTATCGCAAGCACCCCTGCACCCCTGTTTAATTATCGCAAGCACCCCTGCACCCCTGTTTAATTATCGCCAGCACCTCATGCACCCCTGTTTAATTATCGCAAGCACCTCCTGCACCCCTGTTTAATTATCGCAAGCACCCCTGTACCCCTGTTTAATTATCGCAAGCACCCCTGCACCCCTGTTTAATTATCGCAAGGTGTAGAACCCTCATACCCCGAGAAAAATGGGCCCTAAAATCCGCAGCATTCCGGGAGACCGACGAATCATCATGAGAAAACGCAAGCGATTAAATAAAGAAATAGCTGAATTCAATAGTGATATGAGGAGACGGAGGCTAGAAGATTTGCGTTAGGAAATCGAGCTCAGGCTGTAAGACTCGCACAGGATGGAAGAATAAGCTGGTAAAGAGCGAGTGGTTGAGGTTATCAGCGAGAACTCCAAGCACTTTTTCAAATATGCCCAGTCAAAGGCTAAAATAAAGACACCAGTGTGCCCGCTAAAAGGATAACCAAGTCATTATCGGAGATACCATGGCATGTGTGAGTTACTGGGATCACAGTTTGAATCAGTGTTCAGTAACCCCAGCTACTCAAGACAGGAGAATGAAATTGAAGTTCTCCAGGAGCTGCCAAGTGGAAGGGGGTTGGAGAACATTGAGTTTAAACCAGATGCCATGGAAATAAGTATCACAGAACTGGCGACGTTTTCAGCGCCAGGACCCGATGGAATTCCGACAGTGCTGTTGAAGAAGTGTGTTGGAGCACTGAAGGCTCCGCTCACAATGCCTGAAAGCCTCTATGACGGAGGGAATTATCCCTGAGGGCCTCAAAATGGGACTGATAACGCCAATCCACAAGGGAGGTCCGAGCGACAGACCCCAAAATTACAGACCTGTGACGACCTCACATGTGATCAAGGTTTTTGAGAAGGTAGTGGCCAGGAGGCTTGTCCAGTATATGGAAGAGGCTGCACTGTATAATAATGGACAGCATGGTTTCCGGTGTAATCGTTCATGTTTTTCACAGTTACTGGAGCACCATCACCGCATTGTGGCCCAGCTGGAGGAGGGAGCTGGCGTGGACGTAGTATACCTAGACTTTACTAAAACTTTTGACAAAGTTGAAAATGGAGTGCTCTTTAGAAAACTGAGGCTGTTGGGGGTAGGAGGAAGCGTGTTAAGGTGGATCAACAACTTCCATAAGGCCTGTCCACACGCTCAGTTTTACACAACGATTTGTCTGCGCAGTTCAGATCGTTGCAGATAAAACGTTGCGTGCGGACGGAAAAACTGCGCAGTTTTGAAGCCGGCGGGAAGACAGCACAATTGCAGCGATATCTGAGCTACTGACTACAGAGCATACATTTCAATGAACTGCACGGAAAAGTCGGAATGTGTCGACGGTAGCACCGGTTTCCGAGTTAATTTGTGCTCAGTTTCAACGATTCTGGCGGCAATAGTGAACCTTCGGTAATGTTCTCGGTAATTTATTGCTCTATCTTCTATACGAAAGTTGTCAATGCATTTGGCGAGTAAAATCCAAGGAATATCGTTAACATGGACAAAAAAGGTGGAGACATATGAGAGCTTAGTAGAAAATTCAAAGAAATCGATGAAAGCGCAAACAGAGAAACAGCTGTAAAAAATTAATAATTTGAAGAATATTTACCGTAAATAATTAAAAAAAAAATTAATGAATCGATTCCATCTGGAGCTGGAGAAGATGACATCTACAAGCCATCTCCCTGTTGTTTTGATTCATCGCATTCCTAAATGATCCAATCTTTTTTTAACAAGGCACAATGCTAAAATTGAGCAAAATACTGCCTCCTCGACGGCGAGATTGTGCAAAACTGAGCAAACTACACAGATAAGTTGGCACCGTGTGGACGCTCTAAAAATTGCAACGATTTCATTCCGACTTGAGACCGCGCGGACAAATCGTTGTGTAAAACTGAGCGTGTGGACCGGCCTTTACAGATAGAGTGCAAACTGTCGCAATTGGAAACTCGAAATCGAGAAAAGCAAAGGTGATTAACGGAGTTTCACACGCCTCAGTGCTTGGACCGATCCTCTTCCTCATCCACATTGCCGATATAGACTCGAAGCTTACCCACGCATCTAGATCGTCATTTGCGGACGATACAAGAGTGCTGATGAAGATCACAGATGACCTAGACTACGAAAGGTTACAGTATGACTTTTCGGCAATCTACGATTGGGCCCTAGTGAAGAAAATGCAGTTAAACGGCACCAAGTTCGAAGTAATGAGATACAGAGTCCTCACAGAGATCGGGATGCCACATCGCTACTTGGCATCAGAAGATACAGAAATTGAGGAGAAGCAACTAGTTCGAGATCTCGATGTGTTGATGAGTACTGAAGCCACGTTTGAAGCCCACATCGAGGAAATAGTCGTCCGAAGCCGACAACGGATGGGGTGGATCTGGCGGTATTTCAAACGAGAGAAGCAGCACCAATGATTACACTCTACTGAGCCCTTGTGCTCCCTAATCTTAAGTACTGCTGCCAGCTTTGGGCGCCGCTCGAGGCGGGTGCGGTGCGGAAACTAGAGTCAGTCCAGCGGACCTTCACGTCCAGGATCAGCGGTATGAAGGAGCTGAACCTGGACTACTGGGGATGATTGAAACACCTGGGACTGTACTCACTGGAGAGAAGAGAGAGGTATATTATATTGTACACTTGAAAGGTGATGACCGGACAGGCTCCCAACTTTGAGAGTGAGACATCCAAAATAGTGACCTAAAAAACGAAAAGAGAGGGAGACTGTGCAGGATTCACCCATTTAATAACCGAGCCTCGGCCAGAGTACAAACTCTTCAGGAAGGATCTCTGTCCGAGGTAGGACCGAGGCTCTTTAATGCCCTGCAAAAAGTGCTGAGAGGAGGGGAGTTCACCCTTGCAACATTCAAGAGACGACTGGACAAGTGGTTGAGAAAGATCCCGGATTGTCCAGTGGAAAGATTGTCCAGATGGGAAAGTACCCTCAGCAAGTGACAAGCAACAGCATCTTGCATCAGCTGGCCCAAAGGAGGGCAAATATACGGAACACGTCCAACGTTACATCCGGGACCAGAGGGCGGGGTGACCTGCCTAGCGACGACTCGGAGACGGAGGACGACGAAGGCGGAGCATCAGCGTGACCGTGGACTAAGAAGTCCTAAACTCATCATAAGGTCATAAGGTACCCCTGGAAAACTGTATAATTATCGCAAGCACCTCCTGCATCGAGTCAGTTTGAATTGAAATTTAAATAATAATTTATTAACCCACTTTTTAATAATTGAAAAAAATCATTTAAATAATAACTATAATAATTTTTAAATGAATATTATAATTATTATTTTAAAATAATATGTATAAAAAGTATTAATAATAATTAATTAATAATAATAATTGTATAATTATAATATTATTATTTTTGTAATTAAAAACTAATTTTTAAAACTGACTTTGTGCGAGATCAAGGTAGGCGCGAGCGGCAGGCGAGTCCGGGTGGTCGAGTAAGAAGTTTGTGCCTTCATCACAGGCGCGGGCGACCAGCGGGTCCAGCGGCAGGCGAGCGATCAGCGGCACGCCTGACTCGGCTGCCAGACTCGCCGCGCCGCCTGTAGCGCTGGGGAACACTACGCTCTCCCCCTAGGGCATGAGTGCGGTATAAGGGGGTATAAAGGGGAATAAAGAGGTATAAGGGGGTATAAGGGGGAATAAGGGGGAATAAAGAGGTATAAGGGGGTATAAGGGGGAATAAAGAGGTATAAGGGGGTATAAGGGGGAGGAGGGTATAAGGGATATAAGGAGGAATAAGGAGGTATAAGGGGGAATAAGGAGGTATAAGGAGGGTATAAGGGGGAATAAGGGGGAATAAGGGGGAATAAGGAGAAATAAAGAGGTATAAGGGGGTATAAGGAGGAATAAGGAGGTATAAGAGGGGATAAGATAGAATCAGGAGGGGCAGTAGACAGAGGAAGACTCGCCGTGAAGCCCGTTGATATGTGCAACACTAAGCTCTGCTCATGGGGCAAGGGGAGAATGCTAAATGTGGTAGAAACTAGGGTAGGGTAAGGGTAGGGTAAGGGTAGGGTAAGGGTAGGGTAAGGGTAGGGTAAGGGTAGGGTTAGAATAGAGTAAGAGTAGGGTTAGAGTAGGGTAAGAGTAGGGTAAGGGTAGAGTAAGAGTAGGGTTAGAGTAGAGTAAGAGTAGGGTTATAGTAGGGTAAGGGTAGGGTAAGAGTAGGGTTAGAGTAGAGTAAGAGTAGGGTTAGAGTAGAGTAAGAGTAGGGTTAGAGTAGAGTAAGAGTAGGGTTAGAGTAGGGTAAGGGTAGAGTAAGAATAGGGTTATAGTAGGGTAAGGGTAGGGTAAGAGTAGGGTTATAGTAGGGTAAGGGTAGGGTTAGAGTAGAGTAAGAGTAGGGTTAGAGTAGGGTAAGGGTAGAGTAAGAGTAGGGTAAGGGTAGAGTAAGGGTAGGGTAAGGGTAGAGTAAGAGTAAACACGAGATGTTTGCCTGCCGCACAACTGAAACAATTTGGTCGGCGAGGGCATGGGTCTCAAATAAATTTACCTTTAAAGTAGGTATCAAAATAACCAACGCCGCGCTCCTGCATACATCCAGCCTAAGATCTCTTCCCAACCAGACTGGCACCACTGTACTCAACTTCGGATCAATTCTATTTATAATGAGATCTTATATACGATCTTGTTCATCTTTCACCTAAATTATTTTCGTGGATTTAAACCACACTAGCACATTTCTCTCCATTAATTTAACAAATCTCGCCACAAGCACTTCCAAGCCTTTTTTTCAAACACTATAAAAAAATCTTTAAGATTTTTTCCCCACCAAAAACACAATGATATAAAAAAGAGCAAATGTAAATGCAAATGTAAATATCGCAACTCACTTTACACTTCGGACACACGAACATCGTCATGTTCTCGACGATGCCCGCCATGGGCAGCTTGACGCGCTCGCAGAAAGTGATTTCTTTCCTCACGTCGAGCAGTGACACCTCCTGAAAGTTCAAGGGAATGTTTCACCATTCAAGGGAATGTTTCACCATTGAATGTTCAAAGGAGCATGAATGCTTCAACATTTAACTTTTACTGAATGTTCAAAGGAGCATGAATGCTTCAACGTTTAACTTTTACTGAATGTTCAAAGGAGCATGAATGCTTCAACATTTAATTTTTATTGAATGTTCAAAGGAGCATGAATGCTTCAACGTTTAACTTTTACTGAATGTTCAAAGGAGCATGAATGCTTCAACGTTTAACTTTTAGTATACGCTAAAATGAGCTAAAGCTGTAACATTTAGCCTTTCATGAATGTTCAGAACATTAGGCACGCTTTAACAGTTAATTTCTCGTTTAGAGACGCGTCAACAATCATCGACGGTACTTGCGTCTGAAGGCCAGTAATGGACATATCGTCAGTATATAATGAATATATTGATATATAACCGTAATCAATAATTATCGTATCTTAATGAGTGGTATAGAGTGGCTGGCAGTAGACAAAATTATGACTTATTACCTGATAAAACATAAAAGGCAGCCCACGGTATTGGTATTTAAACGCTTCTTAAGTAGAGTAACCGTCAGAAAAGAGTTAATTAGGAGTTAATTTTTCCTAAGAATTAATTTTTCCTTGGTAAATTCTTTTAATGTCGTTTTACTCGTCTATGATTTTCGTAATTAAAGGCGTGGTAATGACGTTACCGTCACAACGGGTTAAGCCAATAACTGGAGGTTAATTACCAAATCAGGAAATTACACTCAAACAAATGTGCGCGACTTTATTCAAACAACGATGCACTTTCAGTCCAGTTCAGATCATTCTGACCCAGTTTAGCCCGGCAAAAGGTGTACCGGTATCACTGCTACTTACGCTACCTGCATGAGACTGTATTGTGGGTAAAAAAGTGCGTCACAATTTGGACAATAACCCCCGCACGAATCTTCTACGTGTATGAAATGAGGTAGTAATACATCCCAGTTTGCGAAGCACTATTCTGGGGTGTAATTTAACGTAATTTAATATAAAATTACTTATATACTATAATAATAATATACTATAAAATTATTTATTTAATGTAATAAAAGTTACATAATATAATATAAAAGTTATACAACATAACAAAGTTACATAACATAATAATAGTAATATAATGTAATATAATATATATTATTTGTTTAATATAATAAAAGTTACATAATATAATATACCTAATAGTTGTACAATATAACAAAGTTACACAACATAATAATAGTTATACAATATAACAAAGTTACATAACATAATAATAGTTATACAATATAACAAATTACATAATATAATAATAGTTATATAATATAGTAATATATAATAATATATAAGGCATACCTGAGGCGTGGTGACGACGACAGCGGCAGCAGCGTTGCCCTGCAGGAGGTAGTGGGCAAGAGTGAGATGCTCGTCGCTGGTGCCGGGGGGCGTGTCGATCACCAGGTAGTCCAGGCCCTCCCACTCTACATCCTTCAGGAACCTCTTGATCAGTCCTGCGTGGAGGGGGGGGGGTGGTGAGGGGGATGATAACAGGGATGATGGCACAACTCCACGTCCTTCAGTAACCTTTTGATCAGTCCTGCGTGCAGGGTGGTGATACAAAACTGACGGGGATGATGGTAGGGATGACGGCAGGGATGATGGTAGGGATGATATAACAACTCTACGTCCTTCAGTAACCTCTTGATCAGTCCTGCGTGCAGGGTGGTGATACAAAACTGACGGGGATGATGGTAGGGATGACGGCAGGGATGATGGTAGGGCCTTGCTCGGTGGTTCGCCTCCTGTGGCGCAAGGGGGACTCGCCCGGGGCCGGCAGCTGCTGGCCCCTGGAGCGGCAAAGGAGCCACCAGGGGGCGGGGGGCAATGTGGGGTCAAGCCGCAAGGGGAGATGCCCAACACCCCCCCGCTCACAGCAGAGGAAGAAGGGAGTAGCCGCCCCGGACCCCTCTTTAAATACTTTCGAGGCGAGGGCCCCTCGGGGGCCCGCATCGGTGCCTGCCGGACGGTGTCGAGCCGTCTTGGACAGGCTGGCAGCAGCCCTTAGGGCTGTCTCTTATACACATCTAGATGTGTATAAGAGACAGGTGCATGGGAGAAGGGGAGTAGTGAGTGTGTGAGAGTGAGAGTGTCCATGGCTTTGTTTGCGGATGATACTACGATTGTGGGTGTGAAGGGTGAGATTGAGAATGGTGTGAGAGCAGTGAAAGAGGTGATGAGTCAGTGGGAGGAACGAAACAATGACGAGAAAGAGGAGGTGCTTGAGTTTGGGACGGAAGAGGGAGGCGAAATCAGAGTACTTGGAAGCTGGGTGAGTTCGGAAGTGGATGTGAATAACAGGATCAAGAGAGCTGGGCTCTACGTCCTTCAGTAACCTCTTGATCAGTCCTGCGGGGGGGATGGTGATATAAAACTGACGGGGATGATAGCAGGGATGATGGCATAACTCCACGTCCTTCAGTAACCTCTTGATCAGTCCTGACGTGTACGCTTCAAGAAGACGGATGATGGGTGTAAGGTTGTAAATTGCATTCTAGAAGGTGAACAACCTATTTCTAGGCATGGTTGACGATAACCATTACGCCTTTACTTGGATTGGTTCCAGTTAACATACCCTGCCTTTATTGGTAAGATTTTCCGTTCAATCAAATTAAGATTAGACAACAAAATAGGCTGCACCCATTTCATATTCAGTGGTTATCGAGTTGTAATATTACGATTCTACTACTTAAGTGCTTAGTTAAATGATTAGTCTCGGTCACTTCTAATAATTATTATTTTCAATCTGTAGGGTTGCGGATCTCGCGTGGACTGGACTCGAGGTGGCACTCTCCAAGTTTGTCTTGAAGCTTTTCGTGCTCAATGTTCACCTCGTGGACCGACTTCTCACTTCGAGGATCGGAGAAGCGCCGCAGACTATTATGTTTCAGGAATTTGCAGATGTCGCGCTTGGAATCGATAGATTGAACAGCTAATGTGCCAGATAGTTTACTTTATGGTGTTATCTTTTAATGTAAATTTTGCTTCTTGTTTTGTTCTATTAAATTGTTGGCGTTTACTATTGTTTGAAGTATCCGTGAGAGGAAAACGAACCCGATGGAAGACAGCCTTCATTACAACGAGATACTGATAAAGCCATAACTAACACGGGATCTTCAGGAACAAATTCTTGGTAAGGGTACATCAGCATCAGCACTGCCTCATGGGCAACATGACGGCCATTGATTCAAAACTAGGAGTTAAATCCACTACAAGCACTCGGTATTTAATAAAATTTAGTCATTTAACCAAATCTTACAATGTTACGTTGCAGGTCTCTTTACTTCATTCTACTCCGCATGAATTCTCAGACATTGTGAGTGACATTAAACATAAACTGTGATGAATAATACATTATTTCCTGAGCGCTCACCGTTCTTGTTGGGCCCCCGCCACATGACGGCGTCCTCGAGGCTCTCCAGCAGGAAGCCGATGGACATCACCGCCAGGTTGTCCTCTATGTACTGTAATGCAACCGATGTACTGTAATGCAACCGATGTACTGTAATGCAACCGATGTACAGTAATGCAACCGATGTACTGTAATGCAACCGATGTACTGTAATGCAACCGATGTACTGTAATGCAACCGATGTACTGTAATACAACCGATGTACTGCAATGCGACAGATGTACTGCAGTGAATACAACCGAGAAGTACAGAGAACTGGAATACCCAGAGAACTTTTATATGATATGTAAGTAGTTACAATAACAACGTTATATGATAGATAATTAGTTAAATCAACAACAACGTTACATGATACCAGTACATAAGAAGTTTAAATAACAACAACGTTATATGATATGTAAGTTAAAACAACAACAACGTTATATGATATATAAGAAGTTACAATAACAACGTTATATGATAGATAATTAGTTAAATTAACAAAACGTTAAATGATATATAAGTTGAAATAACAACAACGTTATATGATACATAAGAAGTTTAAATAAGAACAACGCTATTCTCGCTACGCAACTCACGACAGGAGACCAGCCCGAGGCGGACGTGTGGACGGCGTTACCAACGGTGCCCGTGACGCGGGGCTGTGACGGTCCACACACGTCCACGTCCAGCACGCCCACCTGCCCGTCATGCCTCAGCATCATGCCACATGCCTCAGCATCATGCCACACACCTCAGCATCATGCCATGCCTCAGCATCATGCCACACACGTCCACGTCCAGCACGCCTACCTGCCCGTCATGCCTCAGCATCATGCCACGCACCTCAGCATCATGCCATGCCTCAGCATCATGCCACACACCTCAGCATCATGCCACGCACCTCAGCATCATGCCACACTCCTCAGCATCATGCCATGCCTCAGCATCATGTCACATGCCTCAGCATCATGTCACATGCCTCAGCATCACGCCATGCCTCAGCATCGTGCCACGCATCTCAGCATCATGTCACGCATCTTAGCATCATGTCACGCATCTCAGCATCATGCCACACACGCCACACCTCAGCATTAAAGTTCAACATAACCCATCTTTATAATATCAATGAACACATCTTTTTCAAGGGACGAAACTCTCAACAAATTCCACTGTTTTATACGGTTACGCAAATGGCGGCTGTAAAGCGACGCCTATGTTGGAATAATGAGCAGTAACGAGATGAAATATTTACAATCACTAGCCACGGCTGGTGATTTTTATAATCTCTATAGCCAGCATAATAAATAAACGTTTCCTGCTCACCTTTACTATGGAGGGAACACTAATTATTGACAAATATTCCCACGGAGAACCGAGACAGTACAAGTCGCAATGAATATGACCGTAATGAGCCAACGCCAATTACGACAAGACTCGGTTTGCTTAGCACCGGCAAGTTATTGAACCCCAAATACAGGCCATCAATCCTAAGTCAATTTGAGGCTCATGCACCTACACCGTCAATGTTAGAAGAGCCTTAATGGTTCTCGGGTAAAAGGAAACTGTAGTGGGTTTAGGAGTCGTAAACAATGAATAAAAATGGAAAAAAAATGAGGTGAAGGGACACGAGCGCAGAACGAATGAAAAGAAGCAACAGAGCTGCCAGCAGCAGCAGCACCAGAGCTGCCAGCAGCAGCACCAGAGCTGCCAGCAGCAGCAGCACCAGAGCTGCCAGCAGCAGCAGCACCAGAGCTGCCAGCAGCAGCACCAGAGCTGCCAGCAGCAGCAGCAGCAGCAGCAGCAGCAGCAGCAGCAGCAGAGCTGCCAGCAGCAGCAGAGCTGCCAGCAGCAGCAGCAGCAGCAGCAGCAGCAGAGCTGCCAGCCACTGGGTCAGCGCAGGTCACGCGAGCGCTACACAAAATCCCTCACAACAGCCACAATGTTTGTCCAGCTTCGTAGGAGGGCAGTCAGTATCCTGTATTATATACTAGAGACAAACGCTTCTATGCGAAGAAATAATGCAGCGATTCAATCGAGACAGTTTATGATTTTTTTCGTGCCTGAGGATAAAATAAAGGATAAAATAATATACACACACAGGATAAAATAATATCAAAAGGTGGAGAAATCTATGTAATATAAAAGCTAATATAATAAATACGTGGCAGTCAGTTAAGAGTGTTAACATAAACTCGGGAAAACACGGAGGGAAAAACATATAAACTGAATTACTAAACGAAAATGTACTACGTGCATGACTCGCGCTAAAAAAAAGTAGACATAAAATTATAAATATACACTCGTACTTCAAATGAATAGCGTACTATAGGCTAATTACTAACGAAAACACAGATACGTTACGCTAATCGATATACCTATACGATTCAATTATCAACGAAGGAATTTCATTTGAAGCCGATAGCAATAATACACAACAATAATTGTCACGCATTAATAGCATACATCGTCATGCTAAATATTCAAACATTCGAAATATATTGCGTGTAGCGTCGGTAGAAGAAAATCTAGAGCTGGCGTGACCCTAATTAAAGACTGAATGAGCGTGTGTGTGGCAGACTGGACGCTACAACATCCTTGTACTGCTGCGGATAATAGGAAAAAAACGGGCATAAATGCCCGGGATTATGGCAGCCATTCACGACACGCACGGCGCACGAATGAGTGAGGGCACTGACTCATCCGAGGGCAGGTGCGTGGGCATGGGCAAAACATGGTATGTTTCAGATTTAAAGTTATACTAAGTTTGGGTATACAGTAAAAAATATAGTTAGGCAAAAAAATTGTAAAAATATACTCGTGAATTAAATGAATAACGCACTATAGGCTAATTATTAACGAAAACACAGATACGCTATTGCTTCCACGAATGCAAATTATAAATAAGGTTGCTCACGTTGTGTTGAACTTACGAATATCGCTCAAAGAGCATATTTTTTGATGTATCATCGTTATTTTTTATAGTATACGAAGCGTACTAACTGTAGCTAACATTATTTTTGAAATTATTTGTAATTTTTACGCGAAACTTAAATTCCTGATAGGAAACGTGATTTAAATTTAATCACCATTAGATCTCCACTGTAAGAAGGAATCTTAGGTTATGATACAAGTATGCACGAGTGGTAGAAAATACAAAATAAATTGTTTGCTTACTATATTAAAACTAAACGAAGAAACAGAGATACATTGTTCAAGCGTAGAACAAAAGAGAAGCTTTTTCAATTGCGTTGTCCATTGAGCAAAGTTAATCAGGAAATTAGCGCTACTGCAGCGGCGCGATAACAAAAGTAACTGCGGCTACAACAACAGTAACTGCAACAAAAGTAGACTGCGGACTGGCAGGGAGCTATCGACCGTCCACGGACTGCTGGAAACAAGTCCAAGGACGCGGCGCCTGCCCCAGGGCACGCGTGGGGCACAGTCACGCCTGGTGCACTGTTACGTCCGCATCCCGTGCGCGTTTGGGGTAAATTGTATTGACTTGGGGTGAATTTAGAGGATAGACTCGGGGTAAAATTTGGGGTGAATTTAGAGGATAGATTCGGGGTAAAATTTGGGNGTTGAAACAACGTTGATTACGAGATGAACTAGTTGAAACAACGTTGATTACGAGATGAACTAGTTGAAACAACGTTGATTACGAGATGAACTAGTTGAAACAACGTTGATTACGAGATGAACTAGTTGAAACAACGTTGATTACGAGATGAACTAGTTGAAACAACGTTGATTACGAGATGAACTAGTTGAAACAACGTTGATTACGAGATGAACTAGTTGAAACAACGTTGATTACGAGATGAACTAGTTGAAACAACGTTGATTACGAGATGAACTAGTTGAAACAACGTTGATTACGAGATGAACTAGTTGAAACAACGTTGATTACGAGATGAACTAGTTGAAACAACGTTGATTACGAGATGAACTAGTTGAAACAACGTTGATTACGAGATGAACTAGTTGAAACAACGTTGATTACGAGATGAACTAGTTGAAACAACGTTGATTACGAGATGAACTAGTTGAAACAACGTTGATTACGAGATGAACTAGTTGAAACAACGTTTAATCAGAGGTATATTAAATAGATGGTGGCTATGATCAATGGAAGCTTTATAAGAATGCTGCGCTCAAGGGTGCTGGTGCCGGGCACATTTCCGGCCTTGTTTGTCGTCGCTCCTCGTTGAAAATTTGGAATTGATTAAGATTGAGAATTTTTACGCAGTTTTTTTTTTGTCGGTAAGTTATAAGATTCCATGTCAGGATTGGCAATTCCACCATATCGCAGGCCGAAGGCAATATTTTATAATTAATTTCAAGTGTATTTAAATTTTTATACGTACTTGCTAAGCTCACTGAGAACTGCGTTTGCTAAGCCAACTAAGCACAGTGCCCTCTAAGCGCAATACTCAGCAATCGGGCGAGGACACTTTAGGCCTACTAGCCACACTGCCCACTAACTCCAGCACCCACTAAGCTCAGTACCCAATAAGCTCACTCCCATAGCCTCCACTAAGTCCATCCATCGCTCACTATATATAAGCCTCCTCCCTTAGCCCTCACTAAGTCCATCCATCGCTCACTAAGCCTCCTCCCTTAGCCCCTAGTAAGCCTCAGCACCACTGTGAGTCCCAGCAAGGGACTCACTAAGCCCTTCTCCCCAGCACCCACTAAGCTTCCCTTTATCCCAACTAAGCCTCTCATGCTCCCACTATATAAGCGTTCCTTACCCCCACTAAGCACCCCTTAGCCCCCCTCCCTTACCCCCACTAAGCACCCCTTAGCCCCCCTCCCTTACCCCCACCAAGGCCTCCCCTCCCTCACCTGAGTGAGGGGCTGGGCGGCGAGGGCCCTGGCGAGCATGGCGCTGACGGTGGTCTTGCCGACGCCGCCCTTGCCTGAGAGCACCACCAGCTTGTGCTTGATGGTCGCCAGACGCGCCAAGATGGCCGCCAGATCTGCAGCACCGGAGGCCGGACTGTCAGTTTAGTTACGAGCTTATAAAGCCGTCAGCCAAACTCTGACCTCTTAGGTCGCCACGTGTACTTAGGTCGCTACGTGTACTTAGGTCGCTTCGAGTACCTAGGTCGCTACGTGTACTTAGGTCGCTACGTGTACCTAGGTCGCTACGTGTACTTAGGTCGCTACGTGTACCTAGGTCGCTACGTGTACTAGACCTAGGTCGCTACGTGTACCTAGGTCGCTACGTGTACTTAGGTGGCTACGTGTACCTAGGTCGCTACGTGTACCTAGGTCGCTACGTGTACCTAGGTCGCTACGTGTACTTAGGTGGCTACGTGTATCTAAGTGAGCTGTGATACTAAGGTTCCAGGTCGACTTTGCTCGATACGTCTCCACGAGCAAGGCCGTACGTTACACTACTGATACGCAGCAGGACTTTGGTATACTACTGATACTCACCGCTGTTTTCCAATGCCTAGATATTTAAAATAATCATGTTTGATTTACATGACCCACTTAGGTCGTGGTAAATGACCCACCTGGGTCAGGTGCGGCAGCGGCGCCCGAGGCACAGATTTGTTGGTTGGGGCAGCCGGCGCACGCAGACGCTTGGCCAGCGTTGCTGCTGTCCGTGCCGGGGCAGTCTTATATATATGATGAGAAATTACATTTGATTAATCAATTTGATTTAAATAATTAATCATTTAATGTGATTGAATAATGAAAATTATTCAAGTATATTGGTGATTGTCTAGAAAAAAATATTGTCTGTAAAAATACAGTGTGGTTGTCTAGAGAATAACGTTCGAGGTAAAAAAAGTATTAGAGTGTGGTCACCAAGATAATATGAATATCAATGTAAAAAATTATAAAATTTCAGTTGTTCAGTAATACGAAAGCAGATTTCATGATGACAGCAACAAGCAAAACCAATGCGTAGTGATTAATTAAATAAAATCGACATAAATCACCCCTGATTCGATCATGATCATCATCAACATAACTCATTTAATTCATATTTTTTTCGAAATAACTTTGGTCTAAAAATTGGACAAAGTTCGCCAAAATTCTTAATAATCGCTGATCTAAGCCATTACAATAACACACAAATAAAGAAAAAAGTTTCAGAAATAAAGCTATCTGGTTCGTAATTTTAGCGAATATATTAAAAAATTTATACTGGAAATTCACGCAAAAAATGATGGTACACACTGAATTATAATTCATTTTAATTTAAAAAGCCTGAATTAATGATAGATAGAATGATATATAAATTATAAATGAAATGATAATAGATAGAAATTATAAATGTAAAATTTGTTTAATAAAGATCGAATAAACGTCAATACAATAAAATTTAAATACATTATACACTCACGTTCAGGGGCGTTCTCCGGCACTGAAGACATGGCAGAGTATCTCAGTTGTTCACGGATCCACTTACACAACTCTTCTTTTGAACTTGTATAACTTTCGTGACTTATATATATCAATGAACTATAACCTTAGAGACTTATTTTAGACAGAACTGTAACCTTGGTAGGCTATTTTAGACTGAACTATAACCTTAGTAGGTTATTTGACCTGTAACTTTGATAGGTTATTTTATCTGGTAGTATAATAATTACCCTACCAGATATGACACTTACTATTAATATTTAATAACGAGTGTTATTATCATTCATCATCTAGAAAATTAGCAAAAAATAACAAGAAAGAATCAAAGCGATAAAAATAAAGGAGATGGCGGGGCTGCCGCTGATGCTGCACCCGCCCGCTGCAGCCCTCACCACCACCATCCCTACGAGGACCATCCACACCACACCCATCGAGCACAGGTAGGTATGACAGCCCTCACCACCACCATCCCTACGAGGACCATCCACACCACACCCATCGAGCACAGGTAGGTATGACAGCATCATCACCATCATCATCACCACCACCAGCACCGTCATCATCACCACCACCACCATCCCTACGAGAACCATCCACACCACACCCATCGAGCACAGGTAGGTACGACAGCATCATCATGGCCATCATCAACATCAACTACATCGTGGTCATCATCTTCATTATTTCTAATATTTTTAAGTCAACGATAGCTGCTCCACAAACAAAAGCGATAATTGAATATTATTTCATTTTAATCCCGGTATTATTATATTATTACACAATATTATCAACAGGATTATATTATATGCGTACTTAGTCTAATTATGACTGCACTTCCCGTCAAACTTAAGTCGCGAGCATCTGCAACCCGTAAAAATATTGTGCAGTGTGACACAAACATGAAATGAAGCCGAGAAAAAACACATTTGCTGTTCAAAATATATAAAATTCACGACGCAACAAAGACTAAAAACGGTAATTATCCAGCTAATAAAACGTAGCTTACAAAGAAGTTTAGTATAGAAATTGATCTCAATAACCAAGCTCATGTGCTTGTGCAGCCTTAGCTTGCTGCCGCCGCCGCTGGCCCGCGCATACCCCTCAGAGAGCCGCACGCTCGACGCCGTGCGCTTCCCTAACATCTTCAGCTCCGCTACCTCGACCATGAAGACGCGGTACACCGTCGCCGACTGGACGCAGAGTGAGTCGTGCAAAGAGTGGGTCATGGTAGATCAAGTGATGTCAGCTGCTTAGTGGTATCCGAAGAGGGCTCTTTTTAATAATACCGGTTGCTGGCTTCCATATGGCTCAAATATGGAATTTAATTCTTCAGCGAGAGACGACTAAATTCGAGTCTAATGGTTACTATGCTGACGCATGATGCATGCTCTGCTAATAAGGACAGAATAATTTCCACGAGCTATTCTGACGTTGATTAAGCATTCAAGCATTGCTCAGTGGCTTGGTTTGAGTTGAATTTAAACCTTGCCAACGGAATATGCAGTTCTTCAACAGGAAAAATTTTTAATATATATATATATATATTCAGAGAATCAAGTTAGCACTTAATCTTCAATCAAGGTGAGTGGATATATAAACACAGAAGAAGCTGAAAATGCTAAATTACTTTAATTCTTAATTAATGTAGGAATATTTTTCAATTTTTGTTGCGTGATGCCAGAATTTCGCCACAGACAACATGGACAACTCGAGCGAGGCCGAGAACTCGCGGGGCGTCGCCAACAGGATCAGGGATGATGCCGTGCGTCTCGTGGGGTGAGAGTAGTATAATATAATGTAATATATAATAATATATTGGAGTATATGATAATATAATATAATGAAATATATGATAAGCAAAATAATAATATTCTATAACAGAATATAGTGGTATCAGTTGCACCAAACTCGCTGCACCAAACTTAGTGTTCTTAACCCCACGGCCATCCCAAAAATTACTGCGATTGTGATAGGTCCAAATTCAGGAACAAATAAGAATAAAATGATGAGTTGTGCAAAGGTTTGATTTCACTTTCGGATGGCTATAATGACGGGCGTTCTGTCACACTTCAGTAAGGTTCAATGCATCAACGCGAAACTTGAATACAAATTCTAAGGAGATTTTTGGCCCTTGTCAACAAGTGAACGCCAACGAGCGCAGAAATGCGTAAACTTTAAAATCTTTTGAGCAATTGTTCTTGTACGTTATATTACAAAATAATCGTTTGCTGTAGGGGCTTTTAAGACTGGTTCATGCACATAAACGCGTTAAAGAAAACGTTCACAGCAGTGGATTCTTGGTTCCTGTTCGTGCAAGTAAAGGCACAGAAGTTAAATGATTTCCAGGGTACACCACTCTGGAAATTATTACAACATAACCGTTTTAGCACATGGCCCTCGGGTACTCAGGAGCACTTGAGTACTTTTATTTTTACGTAATCACACATAAATGACATGACCTTTATAGCACATCGCCCTCGGGTACTTGAGAGCTTTGGAGTACTTTTCCTCTAACGTAAACACACAGAAAATACATGACCTTCATAGCACATCGCTCTCGAGCACTCATGAGCTTTTGAGTATTTTTCTTCTAGCGTAAACACACAGAACTACATGACCTTCATAGTACATCACCCTCAGATACTCAAGAACCTTTGAGTATTTTTCTTCTTACGTCAATACGCAGAAATGACATGACCTTCATAGCACATTGCCTTCAGGTACACATACGACCGCACAAACCTGGCTCAGCGGGAGAGTTCGCAGCGACTGGGGGAACGCGTGAACGACATCAGCTTCTGGAGGAGCGAGATCACGCAAGAGCTCGAGAGGATGATGAGCGAGACGAGCAGACTTGAGGAAACCAGGCGGGCTTTGGAAATTGCTTTGAAAAATACTGAGCGCCCGCTACACTGCACCAAAGAGGCTCTATATTTCAGGGAGAACCGACAAGGTAAGGCAAGACATTATCACGATTAATTTCACTTTATGCACACACAAAGTCAAGATAAGGAAGCTTTCATTGTTAAATTATTTACTTCTAATTCTCGGACAATGTAAGAATACCGCTGCACTGCACCAAAGAGGCTCTATATTTCAGGGAAAACCGACAAGGTAGGGCAAGACTTCATCAGGACTAATTTGAATTTAAGTACAAAGTCAAGATAAGGATGCTTCTATTACTGAATTATTTACTTTTAAGTCTCAAAAAACAATGCAAGAATACCGCTGCACTGCACCAAAAGGCTCTAGGCTTTAAAATTCAGAAATATTCGACAAGGTAGAGCAAGACTTAATCATGATTATTAATATTTCTGCATGAAATTAAGGTAAGGACACAATATTAAATAATTTACTTTTGAGTCTAGGATAAAACAATGGAAGAATAACGAGCGTCCGCTGCCCTGCACTAACAATGGCATCTTTTTCAGGAAAAAAACGACACGGTATAGGAAGGCTTGGAATGACATATTTTAGATTGACATATAAATTAAATTCGAGCATAGATTAATTATAATGCCTATTTAAGCTTATGAATAAACTATGAAAAATAATCTTAGAAAAATTACCGATTAACTGTGCCAGTGAGGCCATCTGCTACGGGAAGATTCTGCACAGGGAAAGATTTTGTCCCTTGAATCACGGTTTAGGATAGTTGCACTCCACCCTCTTGCTTCTAAATTGAAATAATTATTATATGCACAATCCTCATTGAAAATTCATGCTTCAGGAGAGACTAACACATACCATGCACTGCTGGTTCCAACCAAACCAATTTACCAACTGAATTTTTCATACTTTTCTTCGCTGTAGTTTGCAAGAAATATACAAATGCGAAACACATTTTTAGCAATATTCAAGTTTTTGAAAGTCTGCGGTAATTCCGTCTAACATTTCAATAACAAACTTCCCGCAAAATAGCCCGAAACGATAAGGACATGTTATAAAAAATCTCAATTGTAAAATACAATGATAAGGAACAAATAATTGCGAAACTCTGGAGTTAGGAATCAAGAATTAGGGCCAGAGCTGAGCTGAATCAAGAAAGTTAAAGTATTAATAATAATTACTGTTAGATGGTGATGATTATTATATATTTTCTGTCTGTAGACAGCAGTAACAAAGCAAATTTATAAAATTCTAACATCTAAAGTATGCAAATGGAAAAATTGGCCTAAATACTAACAAATGCTTTATATTCTAAGTAAAAACGCAAATCATTTCAATTTAAGAAAATTTAAAGTCGACTTGTACAATATCGAAGAGTGATGTGATAACAGTCTTTTCTCGTGGCAAGGTATCGACCTGGTGAGAGACAGTCCAGAGGAATGTCTGCTCAGAGAGGTTGACACGATCAAGGATTGCCAGGCGAGGATGAAGAACTTGCTTGAGAGAGTGAATCTTCAGGTGCGGTCTACGACACTTAATAATATAACGTCGATCATTAATCATATATCATTAATCATATATGCTGCATATACAGCACTTTCATGAATGTACTGTTGAATGAATATCCGGATTCAAGCATTTTATCGTTTTTATGGTAGCTGTTTTTCGTTTATCATTATTACTATTAGAAAAATTTATTTCGGTAGCTACGGTATAATCAAAATTGTCATTTGAAGTTGAGTTGATTTAATTATAATAAAGAAAGCCGTAATGACATTTATAACAATTTTGGAATAACATGCTGAACGAAATAAACTTGTCGCTTTTAAATTTTTTAATTCATGGTAATCTAATAATTACTAATTATTTACATTATAATTGAAGACTTTTTATGCTCTGGTATATTTATAAAATTGATTAATCTTTTGGTGCAGTTGAGTCGCAACAGAGCAGCACGACACGACCTCGAGCACGACACCATGAACAAGAACCACAGCCTGAGCATCGACAGCGCTGCCCACGGCCTCCACAACGCTAGCCCCGGCATAACATACTTCCCTGGCGTCGAGAGGCTCGACTACACGTACGCCTACATAATAATTAGCATTTTTATTAGTCGCATTCATGTAATCATTACATGAATTACATTTTTACCGTTAAAAAAGTACAAGTGAGAATTTCTATAGATCTGGCATAACATACTTCCCTGGCGTCGAGAGGCTCGACTACACGTGCGCCTACATAATAATTCATCTATGCATTTAGTCGCACTCATGTAATCATTACATGAATTACATTTTTACCGTTAAAAAATTAAAAGTGAGGGTGAGGAGAATTTCTATATCTCTGGCATCACCTAATTCCGTGGCGTCGAGCGGCTCGACTACACGTAGGCCTGCTTACAGCTAGAGTAATTGGCTTTTACATAAACATTCATGTAATCATTGGCACCATTTATAAAAATCAAAAGGAAAGAGAATTTTCATAGCCCCGGCATTGCCTATCTTCCTGGGCGTCGACGTAAAACAATACACACAATTAACAATTACCTTTATTGCGTTCACGTAATTATTTACAACATTATTAGAAATTAAAAGTGGATAGAACATCTATAAGTTTCAGACTCAGACCATGAAAATCAGTTAACCATCATCGGGACATTAAACCTGATGACAAGTTCAGACTCCAATAATCGTAAATATAACAATTGATTTAAGATTTCCGTCAAATTTGAAAACTGTATCAGTTCTCCAAAGTAATTCTGACATGGATTTGCAAAATTGGCTATTGTGACTCGAAAGACTTAAGAATATATACGGGACAATATACACCAACCTTGTCATTACAAGAAAAAAATCTCACTGAACAATGATTCCAAAAAATAACTTGACAGAACAAGAAAAAATTTCACTCTCGTATCAAATTTGGGAAACGGAAAACTTATCTATTCCTTAAAACTATTCTTTAAATAATATTTGACGATCGTGAGCTACAATCGGTTGTTGCGGAGACAAAGAGCCTCATGTATGCCCCTGTACAGGGTGACAGTACCTAACACCTGGGCGGAGATCAGCAACCGTAACGTGCAGCAGAGTCAGACAGAGCGCAACTCGTCGCAGCGGCTGCGCGCTGAAGTCGAGTCGTTGCTAGCGAGCACTCACCAGGATATGTGGTGTGCATGGAGCACCTCGAACAGCGCCCTCACACACCGGGCTGGCGAGACCAACGACACCCGCAACAGACTCATCCAGCAGAGGAACAAGGTGGGTGCATGAGACAAAAGATACAAACAGCATATTTTACGAACACAAACAGCATTGTAAATATGTCTAATGCCAATGTCGCGGTTATATAGAACAGCGAAAATATTTAGTCTCGACAGAACAGCTGAACCGAAACGAAACAATAAAAGCCCTATAATTATTAAAGAATCAATATCTTCAAAACAATATATATACTGTAATTATGACGATGTTAACATTTTAACTCATCACGCGGGTGCAGGTACAGCAAGAAATGAACGACCTGGAGCGCCACATCGACCTGCTGAAGAAGGCGCTGCTGGACAAGAGTCAGCCGCTGAAGGTGGTGCACACCCGCCTTGAGGGCCGCACCCACAGGCCCGAGACTGAACTCTGCAGGGATCCTCCTCAGCACAGGTCTCTACATCTTATAATTATATTAATTATCATCTTATGCTAGATTCTGTACGGCTCGGTCCACGGCCACGCTCGTACGCAGTATACAAATAATTTTCACATGCCGGGAATTAAATCCTGAGCTCATGGGCCCAAGTTGTGCGTATAATAGCATTGCTCAATTTTTAGTGCACACAGTTTACGTCCATATAATGAACGAGTTGAATTTTAAACTGATTCGCGCTTGTAATGTATAATAATTGTTGGCTTTATTTCAACAGTTTCATATTCTAGACAAAAAACAAAATTACAATATTTTGTGGTTGTTTGAAAATAATAACAAGCACTAAGATTAAACTTCGCATAATAATAATTATTTCAGTAATAGGCCTTTCATAGTCGATATCACTAAACAAATAGCCTATTATGACCATAGTTAGAAATTACTTATTGATTGGAGGCAGCAGCATCATCAGTAATACTCCCATTACATAACAAATTTTAAACTACATCAGATCCTCACTAACAACTTGCAGAGTCAAGCACACATCTAACGAATTAAATTCATTGATCAAATTCGAGCCTAGTGCTGCAACTTCACCGAATTGTTGTCGTAAGATATAAATCAGTTACATAATACTTAAAACTTATATCATTAGTCGTCTTAAATCGCCAGCTCACCAAGAATTTAGCATTCCATGAACTGATGATGAAGCTGGTCTCCGAAACGTTTTCATGAAAATATGATGAATTGACTTGGCATTTCTCTGATTTTAAATCCTGATTACAATGAATGCATTGCCGTAAACATGACGGCTCTTTGATTACCGAAGGATGGTGCTGGAGGTGCAAGAGATCAGTGAGAGCGTGGAGGCACTTCGACAAAAGCTACAAGAGGCTGAGGACTCCCTCCATCGACTGGCGCAAGTCAGGGCAAAGCTCGACCACGACATCGCGGTCAAAACGAACTCGCTTTACGTCGACCGCGACAAATGCCTGGGCCTGAGACGAACCTTCCCGCTCTCCCAGCCGCACCTCATAGACTTCACACTGTACTGAGCGACGCCCGCTGCACCTCATAGACTTCACACTGTACTGAGCGACGCCCGCAGCATCTCATAGACTTCACACTGTACTGAGCGACGCCCGCAGCATCTCATAGACTTCAAATTATGCCTAGCGTCATAGTCGTTTTCAATCACATTGAGAAATGCGATCAGCACAATACTTACATCTAACAATTTAGGGAACTGTGGTAACCCAAAATATATTTTGTAGCTCTCGAGAGATGTCTTGTTACGCACCAACTGGCGATGCGTCTTGGATGATTGAATATTTTGAAGCTTCGATTTTATTATCACGCTACACCCAGTAATGCACCATGGAGGAGCACTAGCCAATCAACTTATGCACTGTTTGTGTAATCTTAAACTCACACGTGCACAAAGTGGATGCCGTTGCAAAACTCACAAGACAACGTACGCGTGAAGAGCCGGTACATTAATGCACGTCTAACAACGTCAAAAAGGAGTATGCAGTTGGATAAGTTATGAATAGAGTTGGATACGTTTCTTATGAAGCTGGATAAACTACGTATAGAGTAAGATACGTAACGAATGGAGTTGGATGAATTATTAGCGTTTGAATTTGAATAAATTACAGATGGAATTAAATATGTAACGTCTTAGAACGCTGGATATCTTGATGCAAGACTGTCGCAGGCAGATCGATATATGGTTATACAACAATCAAGTAAATTATTAGACTTCCAAAGAAACAGAGTTTACAACATGTCAATGGCCGATGAACGACGAATGAAATATTAACGTATCAAATTATATTATATTAATGTATCATTCTTGAGGTTTTGATTGTTATGAGATTGCATAACAATGGTACAATCTGAAAATGTGAAAGTGCGTTGCCAAAAACAATGAATGAACGTAAAATAAACACTGCCATTTAAATTCATCGTCCTCTTCTTGACATGTACTCCTCGAGACCTTTCCGAGCCACCAGTATCGCTCTTCATTACATCCGTATATATAGGGACGTTGAGATAATAACCAAGTAACTAAGTACACAATTAGGCTAAATGCTTAAATTTCAGTCACGTCAACCACCACACGATGATGGGCCTGAATTAAAAGTGAGGTATACACATGACCCAACCCTATTTTGTACAAGTATGGACCATTCGTTTTTCGTCTAAATATGACCAATTCCTATTTTCAATAAATACGAATGGTTTCCGTGAGAGTAACGACCGGTTTATGTTTTGCACATATATGACTGGTACCTGTTTGAAATAAATACGCCCATTTCTTTATTGATTTGAAATGGATATCGAAGAAGATAAATTCCTCACACATGAAAAGCATCTCTAGAGAAAAACGTACGAGGTTTATCTTAAGGCCGTCCACACGCTCAGTTTTTCACAACTATTTGTCAGCGCACTTCAGATCGTTGCAGATAAAACGTTGCGTGTGGACGGGAAAACTGCGCAGTTTTGAAGCTGGAGGGAAGACTGCACAGTTGCATCGATATCTGAGCGACACAGCATAGATTTCGATGAACTGCGCAGATAAGTCGGAACGTGTACTGTAGACGGTAGCACAGTTTTTCGAGTCAATTTGTGCTCAGTTTCAATGATGCTGGCGGCAATGGCGGAACTTCGGTAATGTTCTCGGGAATTTATTGCTCAATACGAAAGTTTTTCTTGCATTTTGCGAGTAAAATTCAATTCCATAGTAACAGGGACAAAAAAGGTGGAGACATATGAGAGCTTAGTAGAAAAATTCTAAGAAATCGATGAAAGCGCAAACAGAGAAACAGCTGTAAAAAATTAATAAGTCGAGGAGCATTTACCGTAAATAATTGGGAAAAAGTTTTAAAAATCGATTCCATCTGGACCTGGAGAAGATGACATCTACAAGCCATCTCTCTTGTATTTTGATTCCTCGCATTTCCTAAATGATTCAATCTCTTTTTTAACAAGGCACAATGCCTTAATTGATCAAAATAATGCCTTCTCCGTGGCAAGTCTCGGACAAATTTACGGCCGGACTCGCGGCCGGTCTCCCCAAATATCTCCCAAAGTAATAAACGTAGCTCGATAAAACTTGGTACACGTATTCATTAGAACCTAACGGTAATGTTTAGCACGTGAAAATTTTTTAGATTTTGCCTTCGTTTGCGAGTTATACGGCTTTATCTAATCTAAAAATTGTCACGAGCTAAACATCGCCGTTGAGAGGCTAAGTTTCTATATTCAAAGTTTCGTTCAAATCTGTACAGAGTTAAGAAGAAATGTCATGCTCACTGCAAATTTCGGCACGTATCATCATAAAACTCACGAATGAAGGTGAAATTAAAAAAATGTTCACGAGCTAAACAACACCGTTAGGTCCTAATGACTACGTGTACCAAGTTTTATCGAGCTACGTTCATTACTTTGGGGGATAATCCATGCTCACTGAATTTGGACACCGGTCGCAAGTCCGGCCGTAAATTTGTCCGAGACGTCTCCGTGGCGAGATCGCGCAAAACTGAGCAAACTACACAGATAAGTCGGCACCGTGCATGTGGACGCTCTAAAAATTGCAACGATTTTATTCCGACTTAAAACTGCGCAGACAAATCGTTGAGTAAAACTGAGCGTGTGGACCGTCCTATAGAGGCGCACAATCTGACAGCATGCATACATTACTGAGCGTCACTTAGCTTGACCATTACAAACTTCTTTAAAAACTTGAAGATTATAAAAACTTTAAAGATTTTTATTATTTTCAACGTATCCATTCAACAAGATAAGCATATCTCTGGAAAATGACGGGCCAAGAGATTCTTTTATGTGTATGGTAATAGGCAGGATAGATACGGTACAAATTATCAAAATACTCAGGTAAATGACGGACCAAGAGATTCTTTTACACGTATGGTGATAGGCATGATAGATACTAATGATCAAAATACTCCGGTAAATGACGGACCAAGAGATTCTTTTACACGTATGGTATTAGGAATGACAGCTAGTAATTATCAAAATACTCCGGTAAATGACGGACCAAGAGATTCTTTTACACGTATGGTAATAGGCATGATGGATACTGATTATGAAAATATCTGCTAGGGAACCCTAGGGAGAGCAGGTATTCCCTGGTATGCTGGTCATGCCAGCACATCCCTGAGGGTTGAGCGCTTGCTTACACTTCTCATTAATCCAACCCAGCAATATATTTTATGATTATATTAATTTTTTTCGAAGTCGGTCAGAATTTAAAATTGCTGCTGTCATTTTTTTTATTCACTAACTAGTGTGTTGCATTACGATTCTACAATTGGCGCCGTTATTAGAGACGTTAAAGTGAAGAAAAATTCGATAAGTTTACAAGGAAAAATAAAAGGTATTATACGTGTAGCTTCCAATAAATACGCAACGCAGTTCTTCGTAACGTGGACACAAAAAACACGATCATGATTAAGGACATTAAAGCGAGAGATTACCAAACGAAATTTAATATAAATATCTAAGCCAGAGAAATAACTTATGCACACTTACAAATTGAACGATACAACGAACGAAGCATAAAATTAGAATATCTGTGACAATAAATACATTTTCATACAGACTTTTAGCAACTGTTGCGGTTGCCACAAACATCAGATCTCTGGGAATTTTCACGTAAATGCAAAGCAAGAAATAATAAAAAATATAGTAGTTCTTGCGAATCGAGTTCATCAAGTATGAGAAAAAATTGTCTACACTTCGCTTATTTCAAGCGCTAACGTCACTGAAGCCGAGCGAATTATTTTTATATTATATAATCTAATAATCTCTAATGGAGAAAATAATCTCAACGAAAATAATCACAAATAAAATCTGTGATAAAGTTCGATGATAAAATACTAAGTAACTGAAACTTGGCCTATAGACTACAATAGTTCAGATGAGAAATAAATTTGCTTGTAGTATGCTTCTCAGGCCAGAAATATCGTGACACATTACCGACTCGTGGTTAACTCAAATTTCTAGAGGATAGTTCAAGCACAATACTTTTGAATAGTAATTTGGGACAAAATTCTGTGAGAATAAACTTGCCGCAAATCTGTGAAGAGAAAAGCGCCATTTAAACGATCATTTCCCCGTGCAGGATACGTAACAAATGCACATTATTACATCGTTTCCATAAATATAACGTCAAGAACGACAACTACGACATTTACACTCAACATACACGTCATAATTTCTGGCTTTGGATTTTAAAGAAGAAAACGTGCGCTGAGGAAGCCCTGGGACACGTGGAAAAGATAACCTTCATCTGCAGTGAACAACGTATGTGTGAATAGAGACAATAGGTTCTATGGAAATAAAACAAATAGGCATATTGTACAGAATAATATAGGAACGGAATGAACCATTATCTGTCTATATTTCAACCCACACCACATATCATAGAGAAATACACGACAATACTGCAATGATGCATTTCCGAGTTATCAATTGGCAAATTAGCGAGCTAATTTTTTACATTGTCGATCGCAAAAGCATTTATTTGTAGTATATAGGCAGTGGAGTAGTGGATTGGACAATAACGTGACCAGGTCCCTACGAGGCAGGCAACGAGCATATCTGGGAGGAGTTAATTTAAACCTTACCACCTCATAATTCAGGCCAACATGCCACAATATGCGCATTACTTATAGTCACAAATGCAGTCAACATAGATACGGATGACTTAAATAAAACACTGAAGTATTTTTCAACCTAATTAACTTATATAGAACGTTAGACAGATTCTCACCGAAGGGCAATTTAACTTAAGTTCGGGAACCATTCATCTAAATAAATGACATTAAGACTCTTCGATAGTGATGCGAGACTTACAAACGCGGGGATACAGATTGTTTTATTTAGTAAAAACATCGATGAACGTAAATGCTGTGCGCAAATACATCGAGTTGGGTCACTCCGGTCACATCAACGTTTCTTATAATCACGACACATTTGCTTGTGCATTTTAATCACGCGACACAATCCATGGCGGTCAACTGAGTCACTTAAAAGAATCGCATTATAAGTGGTAACTCGATTCTGAAGGGGGGTCCTCGATGCAGGTTTCGTTTTGATATTTTACCAAAATTTCGCAATTAAAAACATAAAATGCACGAAAGGAGCAGGAAATAAAAGTTATACATTTAGGTACCTACCATAACTAGGTTATAACATACACTTGATGAGCAACGAGGGACAATGACTTACTATCTTTCTTCCGATTCTGTTTACGAACCACCTCTTCTACTGCCAAGAAAGAGAACATTTCCTCAGAACGACGAGAGCGCAAGTTGAGCTTTTCAAAACGACACCAATTGTAATTAATCAGCGAGAACAACAACTTACGCCAAAAATCACCGACCGAAATTTGGAGGTACACTAGTTGGGTAAAGTGCGTTACCAGGATCATTCTCGCTAAGGGAACGTGCATCAATAATATTGGCGGGAAATACAACTTATTGTATACCAAGATCCTCAACATGCTGTTAATTGAGGCAGAACTGAATAATTCTTTGCTATTACAATTCATTCGATCACAAATGAATCTAAGTGCACCAGACCAAACTAAAAACAAAGCATGTATTTTGAAGCTTCCCTTTGACACAACACTTATTAGGGGTTGCGGGTGTTCAATTTTTTGGCCCGAAAAAGTTAATTTTTAATTCATAATTTTAATGTCCTCTGTACGACAAGATTTATAAGTTCTCGTCTTGTCAGAAAAAGCAAGAAGTTCGGCGAGCAGCGACCAGGAAGACAACACGTCAGAGAAATGAGCGAGACTGTCCAATAATTATCGATGCGCTTCTTGCCCTCTGTGTGCATTATCCTGACTCACTTTGGCCCGG